GTTTGTCATAATATTCTACAGCATCGATCACCATTCTTAAATTGTCTCTGATTTGTCTACTTGGCAAAAAACCAGCTTGTTCTTCTGAAATTACATCTTTTAAATACTTCTTTACTCTCTCAGAAATAATTTTAGCAAACAACTTATAGTCATTATTCAGGAGTGAAATCGGTCTATAATTTTTCACATTTGTTAAATCTTGCCCTTCTTTCGGTATTAGTGATATATTGGCTTCTTTCCATGTTTCTGAGATTGTTTTAGTTTCTCTAATCTTATTCGATAGAAGTCCAAAAATTGGGGTCAGCTCCTCTTTTAGTTTCTTATAAAACTTTGCAGTAAATCCATTGGGTCCCGGAGCTTTCCCCAACTTAGTATCCTCTATTGCTTTAATTATTTCTTCTTGTTGAATCATTCCATTCAATAGTTCTTTATCTTTTTCCGTAATTTTTAGCAAGAGCACATCTTTTAAATATTCTTTGATTTTCCCTGAATCGATATTCTTCTTTTGAAACAATTTTGCATAAAACCCATATGAACAACCCTGTCTGGTACCTTTTTGTACTTTAAAGTATGATGTAAGGTCTTTATTTACATTCAATGCCGCTCTTTGATCAGAATATATTGCCTTAATAATATTTACAAAGGGTTGACCTATATCCATTTTCTCCAACATTTGAAACATAAAATCCCAGTTTAAATTGTCAAAGGCTTTTTCCGCATCAACTAATAAAAAGGCAACTTCTTTTTCTGGATGTTTGTCATAATATTCTACAGCATCTATCACCATTCTTAAATTGTCTCTGATTTGTCTACTTGGCAAAAAACCGGCTTGTTCTACTGAAATTACATCTTTTAAATATTAATTTACTCTCTCGGAAATAATTTTAGCAAACAACTTATAGTCATTATTCAGGAGTGAAATCGGTCTATAATTTTTCACATTTGTTAAATCTTGCCCTTCTTTCGGTATTAGTGATATATTGGCTTCTTTCCATGTTTCTGAGATTGTTTTAGTTTCTCTAATCTTATTCGATAGAAGTCCAAAAATTGGGGTCAGCTCCTCTTTTAGTTTCTTATAAAACTTTGCAGTAAATCCATTGGGTCCCGGAGCTTTCCCCAACTTAGTATCCTCTATTGCTTTAATTATTTCTTCTTGTTGAATCATTCCATTCAATAGTTCTTTATCTTTTTCCGTAATTTTTAGCAAGAGCACATCTTTTAAATATTCTTTGATTTTCCCTGAATCGATATTCTTCTTTTGAAACAATTTTGCATAAAACTTGTAAAATACTCTCTTAATTCCTTGAAGATCTACTATTTCATTATTATCCTCTATTATTTTTTTTGATAAGTCTTCTTTCTTTTCTACTTTTCAATTGCCAAGCCAAAAACTTTCCCGGTTTATTTGATCCTTCAAATGATTTCTGTTGCAGTTTCTTCAAATTCCAATAAATTTCTTGACTTAAACTCTCATTCCATTGTTCTCGTAGTAACTGTAACTCTTTAATTATATTCTTTTTCCCTGGCCTCTTAATTAATTCTTTTTCTGTTGAATCTTCTCCAATAATTCCGTCTGTCTTCTCATCTTTTCTTTTTTTCTTTCACATTCAATGATATAAGTAGACCTCTCATTACAGCTTTATAAGCATCCCATACCATTTGTATTGAAGTACCTTGGTTTAAATTACTCTGAAAATAATTTAAAGTCTCTTTACGCAATTTGTCCATAATCTGTGTCTTGTCTAATAAATCTTCATTAATTCTCCATTGGAATTTCTTAGGCTTTTCTTTAGATATCCAAATCAGAGGATTATGGTCCGAGTTGTACCTTGGCATAATTTCAACTTTCTGTGTTTTCATTGCCAATTCTTCTGACATCCATATCATATCTATTCTAGAAAAAGAACAGTGTCTATTGGAATAGAAGGTATAGTCCTTAACATTAATATTCCATTTTCTCCAAACGTCTTCCAATTTCTCTTGAGAAACCAATTCAAAAAAAGTTTTCGGCAATTTTCCAATCTTCTCATCGCTTCTCTTTGATTGTCTATCCAATTTGTTATTCACTGTGCCATTAAAGTCTCCCGCCAATATCACCTGTTCATATGTCAAATGTTCCACCTGCCTTGCCAAGTCCTTAAAGAATGCCTCTTTCGCACCATTTGGTGTGTATAGATTAATTATCAAGGTCTTCTTTTGATGCATAACAATTTCTACTCCAATATATCTTCCTTCAATGTCTTTAAGTATTTCTCTTGGTTGCAGCTCTTTGTTGACATACATCACAGTTCCTTTTTTCTTTTTAGAGTCTAATGAATAAAATTCTTCTCCTAATTTTTTATTAATGAGAAATTTTGCATCTTGTTTTTTAATATGAGTTTCCTGCAGACATATTATGTTACATTTTTGTTTTTCTAGCCAATGTTTGACGACTTTTCTTTTGTTAGGCGAATTTAGTCCATTTACATTCCATGATAAAAATTTGTAATCCATAGTGTCTTGTTATTACATTTCTCCAAATTCTTCAAGGTTGTCTGCCTTGAACCTAAACAGTTCTTCTACGTTTTTAATAACATATCTTGATCCTTTATAGGTAAAAGACAGACCTTCTGGTATTTCCCATCTGAATCTAATTTGCAGTTGTTTTAGCTTGTCAGCCAGTTTCCGATATTTCCTTCTCTCCCGCAAAACCGTCCTGGGAAGTTCTCTCATTATGATTATCTTCTTACCATCTATTTCCAAAGGTTCAGTAAATTGCTTCTTAAATATATCCTCTTTCATTTTTCTCGTGACCAATTGGACAATCACGTCTCTTGGTAAATTCTTCTTCTCCGCATATCTTGAGTTAAGTTCAAAAGAATCTATGCTTCGGCGCTCGGCCTTCCTTATAGTCCAACTCTCGCAGCCATACATGACTACTGGGAATACCATTGCTTGGACTATGCGTATTTTTGTTGGCAGGGTGATGTCTCTACTTTTTATCATGCTGTTTAGGTGCGCCATCGCTTTCCTCCCAAGTAGCAGGCGTCTTTTAATTTCATGGCTGCTGTCACAGTCTGCGGTGATCTGGGATCCCAGGAACGTGAAGTCTGTCACTACTTCCCCGACTTCCCCTTCTATTTGCCAAGGAGTGATGGGACCGGATGCCATGCATATATATTAAATAAGCAAGGTGACAGTATACATCCTTGTCGTACTCCTTTTCCTATGCTAAACCAATCAGTTGTTCCATATCCGGTTCTCACTGTTGCTTCTTGGCCCTTATACAGGTTTCTCAAGAGACATGTGAGGTGGTCTGGTACTCCCATCTCTTTAAGGACCTGCCATAGTTTGTTGTGATCCACACAGTCAAAGGCTTTAGCATAGTCAATGAAGCAGAAGTAGATATTTTTCTGGTACTCTCTTGCTTTTTCCATAATCCAGCGAATGTTGGCAATATGATCTCTCGTTCCTCTACCTCTTCGAAACCCAGCTTGTACTTCTGGTAGTTCTCTATCCACGTACTGTTGAAGCCTAGCTTGTAGGATCTTGAGCATGACCTTGCTAGCGTGTGATATGAGTGCAATTGTGCGATAGTTTGAACATTCTTTGGCATTGCCCTTCTTTGGGATTGGAATGTATACTGACCTTTTCCAATCCTGTGGCCACTGTTGCGTCTTCCAGATTTGCTGACATATTGAGTGCAGCACTTTAGCAGCATCAAAATGGCATGTCATAATGACATATCTTAACATATTAAATGTGCAGTCCTAAACAGAGTTACATTCTTCTATTGACTTCAGTGGACTTAGAAGAGTATAACTCTGCTTAAGATTTGCACTGTGTGATGTCTTCTCCAAAGTCAAACCAGCTTTTCAAGGTTTCAGACAGACATCGTTTCCAGGCCTCCATTGTGATCCTTTTGACTGGAAAGCCAGGGACTGAACCTGGGTTCCTCTGCATGCACAACCAGTGGCCTGCCACTAGCTATGGCCCATCCCCATGGCAGATTTTGTCCAGATCTTGTCAGAGGGTAGCCATGTTGGCCTGCATATCTAACTGTGGCAGTCCCAGAATCATAGAATCACAGAGCTGAAAGGGGCCATACAGGCCACCTAGTCCAACCCCCTGCTGCTCAATGCAGGATCAGCCTAGCGCATCCCTGAGGTGTTTGTCCAGACGCTGCTTAAAGACTGCCAGTGAGAGGGAGCTCACCACCGCCCCAGGCAGGTGATTCCACTCTTGCACAACTCTGACTGTCAAAACGTTTTCCCTAAGATCCAGCTGGTACCTTCCCGCCCTTAATTTAAACCCATCATTGCAAGTCCTCTCCTCTGCTGCCCACAGGAACAGCTCCCTGCCGTCCTCTAAGTGGCATTTCAATGCTTCTGCTGCCATGGGAGGCCAGTTTTCCTTCTCTTTATCCCTTCCCTCTGTGTTCTGAGACCTCCTGACCCGTTTGTTGGAGCTGTTACATTGGCTGGAGATGGCTTGACATCCCATCCCATTCAGGTGGTTTGCCCTAATGTCACTTAGGCAGTTTTGGCTTGTTCCATCTGTGCCTTCATCACCCAACTTCTGACTGAACTGCATGTCTGCAGACTTGGCCTCTTTTACCTTTCAATCACAGTGCAGTGTCTAGCGGTTTTATGTGTTTGGTGATAATAATTACAATTGACACTCCTGAACTGTATTCAGAGTAATAACGAGAATCAATCATACGTATATATATTTTTGAATACATGGAGCTGGTACTTTCTCGGTCACTTCAAAGGACTTCTTCGAAGTGGCAGAGTTAGAACATGTACACATCTTGTAAATTTTTAGCTAATGAGGGGCAATACATGTGCAAAAATGTGCACGAGACACTGCTGAGTCAACAAAACATTCCTCGTGTCCAGTGGTCCAAATTTGCACAGCTGTACTTATGAGGCCGGAGCTGCGGTGGCTCAAGTGGTTACGACGCTGAACTGCAGGCTGTGGAAGGTCAGTAGTTCAGCAGTTTGAGACCCGACTGTGCTGCATGACGGAGTGAGCTCCCGTCTCTAGTTCCAGCTCCTGCCAACCTAGCAGTTCGAAAGCAAGAAATTGCAAGTAGATAAATAGGTACCACTTCGGTGGGAAGGTAACAGCGTTCTGTGCGCCTTGGTGTTTAGGCATGTCGGCCACATGACCACAGAAAGGTCTTTGGACAGCTCTGGCTCTTCGGCTTTGAAACGGAGATGAGCACCACAACCCTAGAGTCAGACTCGACTGGCTTTCGAGCAAGGGAACCTTTACCTTTTTACTTATGAAGCCATCTCCCATGTGTTGGAGAGAGGTTTGCAATCACTGCATTATTCTTACAGTTTGCTGACCTGGCAGAAACATTAACAATATTTGAACTACATTTGATCTTCCATTGCATGTGATAAAAGTGCCTTCTATGCCTTGCTTTGTGTATGGCCAATGCTTTGTGATGCTAACAGAGTTTGTTTTTCAGGTGAAACCCCTAATGTTCTTCAACAAGCAACAGTGGAGCTTATCGACTCAGAGACGTGCAACCAAAAAGAAGTGTACAATGGGGCTATAACACCTGGAATGCTGTGTGCCGGGTACCTGGAAGGAGGAGTAGATTCCTGTCAGGTAGGCCTGACATCGTCTGAAAGAATGACTGGCTCCCAACTCAGCCGGAACAGTTTTTCTGTGGGGGCAGCTTTGTACCAGCACATTTCCATTTACTCTGGAACAGTGAAGTATCCTGATTCCCAGGTGTCTGAGGTCTTTGTTATTCTCATGCTGTCTTGGCTAAGTCCCCTTCTTAGGCCAAGGTCCTTCTTAGGCTGGGCTTCAAAAGTCCTGAGCCTGCCCCTTCCACACCAGGCCACTTCTAGGACTGGAAGACCTCATGCACCCCTTCTGCAAGGGAATTCTTCTGAGAACGCTGCTTCTTGACTCTTCTTCTTCCCCCCGCTCCTTCTGAGTCTCTTTGGGATTATGTCGTCGAAGGGCTTTTCACAGCCGGAGTTCATTAGCTGTTGTAGATTTTCCGGGCTGTCTGGCCATGGTCTTAGCATTGTGGGACCTGACATTTCGCGAGCAGCTGTGACTGGCGTCCTCTGGAGGCTACAATGCCAGGTCCACAGCCATACAGACTGGGAAATCTACAACGCTTTGGGATTGTATGCACTTAAATAATTTCCCCCCATTTTTTCTAGGTAGGCGTCTTCTATCCGTGTCTCACTTAATATTAAAAAAATACTCTATAGGATGGCACATTTAAGGGTAACGCCTAGGAGGAACCATACATTCCTTTCTTACAAGAAACAAGGCAAGGATTATATGTAAAATTCTATTGTCACTTGCCACCACACAGTAAAACAGCGATGTAGTCATGTAGATGTCAAAAACTTAGCTGCTCCTTATATATCTTGAACCTCTTTTATACCTGTCCCTTAGATGATGCTGCCCTCATTTATCACTAAATGTGACACTGACTCTGTTATATTCCAGTAGTTTGGTATTAGGTAGAAATACTAATAGGAGCTGCGGTGGCTCAAGTGGTTAAGACGCTGAACTGTAGGCTGTGGGAGGTCGGTAGTTCAGCAGTTCAAGATCTGAGTTGCTGCATGATGGAGTGAGCTCCCGTCTCTAGTTCCAGCTCCTGCCAAACTAGCAGTTCGAAAGCAAGAAATTGCAAGTAGATAAATAGGAACCACTTCGGTGGGAAGGTAACAGCGTTCCGTGCGCCTTGGTGTTTAGTCATGCCGGCCACATGACCATGGAAACGTCTTCGGACAGCGCTGGCTCTTCGGCTTTGAAATGGAGATGAGCACCGCAACCCTAGAGTCAGACTTGACTGGCTTTCGAGCAAGGGAACCTTTACCTTTACCTTTAGAAATGACGGACATCATGTCCATATGAACACAAATATAAGCAGTTTTTAAAAAAGATTTACTATAACTTGAAGAATCGTACAGTTACCTAACAGAACATCTGTAGTGTATGTACACCTTCCTGGTAATTCCTTTAAAGTCACTGTAGCCTTAGGAGCTGGAAATCCCTGTTTGAGTCCACTCCCGTAATTAAATAGCCAATTTCTCTCCAATCTAGCCCCAGACTAAGCCAGCAGAGTACCAGCTGACTTCTGTCTGAAATCTTCCTTCTGGTCAAGCTCTTCCCTGGCTGCTCTTGATACTGAAGCCACGGCCACTGCTTCAGAAACCAGCCAAGACTCTGGGACAAGGGCACCCAGGCACTGTTCCTGGAAGTCCCCGTTGATTGCCCTTCCAGTCCCCGCCTGGTCATCTTCAGACAACTCTTCTTCTGCTATCCTTCGCTGCCTTTAGATCTCACCACCTACCACTGACTCAGAAAATCTAACCTGGCTGTGTCTGGCCTTCTATGCTCCCTGGTCAATATATCCCTTCGGTCCAGCAGTCCCCTCCACCTCTCAGCCCAGCAGCCCACAGGTTTCTAATTATGGCTCACGAGAGGGGCTAGAAGGTCCACACACTGACTGAGCATTTGGGACTCCTTTCCTGTGCATGTGTCCCTCTGTCTGCATTGAGGAGTCCAGTAAACCTCACTGAGTTGACTTGGCTATTTTTAAAGACAGGAAAAAGGATAGGGAGGGAAGGACCTCTGCAGGCACAAAGACTGCAGGACTTTTAAAAGGCAACAGGTTTCAGCTTGATGGTGCTCCAGCAGAATGGCAGCATTCCGTTCTCATTGTTATCACATTTAGAATGCCCTTTTTTCTCCTCTAGGGTGACTCTGGTGGGCCACTGGTGACGCCTGACACAAGAGGCATGTGGTACCTTGTCGGCATAGTCAGCTGGGGGGATGAATGTGCCAAACCCAACAAGCCAGGAGTCTACACGCGGGTGACCTACTATCGAGACTGGATTGCTGCCCATACAGGGCTCTGATGCCAAAGCTGCACACCCTTGAACCACACGGGCAGTATGCAGGTCATACTTGTGCCGTTGTATTACGAGCTGGTGTATGAATGCCTCTGCCTTATTTCCAAAGTCATCAGCATTGCTCTGATATGTTAAGAAGAAAGCGAAGGATGCAGACTCCTGAACAGACGGCAGATACCTACTGATGTATTTATTTTTCCATAATCAGATGTGCTTGTCCTGAGGCAAAAGAGTGACTCTGCCTTTCCGGAGTGTGGAACACTGCAGCTGCTTTCTACCCCATCCTCTCCACAGAGACCACGTCTCTCCTTCAGTGCTTTCAGTCACCAAGCGGCAGTTCCTCATCTGTGCTCCTATGTAAGGTGTACTTTCCTTCTAGAGCTGCTGCAGCCACACAGGAACTCCCTGAGGATATCTCAAAGAAGGCTGGAGGAGGCACTCACTGACCATGAGGCCTTCAGACAAGGTTTCCGGCTACTCAGAATCCCGATCTGGTCTTTTCAATGGTGCTTACTCCCAGGAAAGTGTTCTTAGGATTGCACTGTAAGTTCATCAAGTAGCATCTCTTTTGGATTCAGATTTGCCTCCCACGCGAGCACTGCCTTCTCTAGCTACTCCTGGCAATGGCTGTCTCAAAAGTATTTTTTTTATAGCAAGACATTTGGACACTTCTAATCAGTGGTGAACTGCATGGGTTTTTTCAGAGCATCTATAAAGTTTTGCCAGCACTCTAAGGGTGTAACTAGACAAGTTCTATGAGCAGATCTCCTCAAATTTCTGTCTATAGCATCTGAGGAAGGGGTAAATAGCGGTACAGGGAAAAGGGGGTTAATCCCCCACCCAATCCCATGCCCCTTAAACTACTCTTTGACCTGATAGGGGAAATGTCTGGATACAACTCTGTGTGGAATGCAGTTTATACTGGGAAAGCAATATGAGGGGAAAGGGTTCACCATCACCCCCAGTTCAACCTTCCCAATAGCTATAAATGCAAATTTAAAGACACAAGAGATCAGACTGTCAAGTTCAGCTCTAAGGTCACTCATAGATGTCAGTTACGTGTTTTCCTAGAATTCCATAACTTCTCTCATGCCCACCTTCATCACTGCTTCCATGCTTGGCTCTTTTGACAAGGGCAGGAACCATAAAGGAAAGAGAAAACAGAGTTGCACTTACCTGTTAACTGCTGTTCATCTGGCGGTCTTCTGTGCAGGCACACTTTGGGACTGTGTGTGCAGGCCAGCTACAGAAAGATTTCCAAAGTTTTCTAGTAGACTAGGAGAATCCCTCCTCCCCCTGGCACTTTCTTGCCAAAACAATCACATGACCAGGAGGGGCGTCACTCCCTCAGCTCTCCCCATGCCACTGCCAGAAACCCCAAGAAACGAAGGTTCCAGAGAATTCACAGCAGGGCAGGAAGGAGGGATGTGGGCCTGCACAGAAGACCATTTGATGAACAACCTCTACAGGTAAGTGCAACCATGTTTTCATCATCGTGGCTTGACTAGCAAGAGTGAAGGAGGTGGGTGTGAAGCTCTCAGAGGAAGAGACCATGGAGGACCACCTTCTCAACAGTTGTTTGGCATCACATATTGACCTTCACCCAGAGCCAGGAGCTCTCTACAAGTGTCCCTACTGAAATACATGCAGGGACACGGCAAAGGAAAGCAGTAGCATTTCCAGGGACACGGGGCATTGTGAGCCCTTCCGTTAAAGGAAATAACGACCGGATCCAAGCAGTTTTAGACCATCCCGTAGGGGAATAGTTAACCAACTTTAACAAATAATCTGTTGACAACCCGAGTGTCTAACTCACTCCAGATGAAGCATGCTCCCCCAAGAGAACAAGCTGTGATGCAGATCTGCACGGTTGAGCCCATGTGCCCCAGCGGCACCCAGTTGCAGCGGCTCCACTTGGCCATTCAGTTTGGATGTCACAGGCCACAGCACCAAGGACCTGAGCTTTTAAAATAATTATTCCTACCTGATGGAACAGTGTCGGTACAGAGGAGGGGCAGCCAAGATGGTGATGAGGGGATTGGAGCACCATCCCTAGGAGGGAAGGCTGAGGAGTCCCTCTGGGACTTTACAGTTTAGTTTATAAAAGAGATGATGGGGGGGGGACAACATGATGGAGGTTTATAGAATTATGGACAGGGTGGAGAGAGTTGGCAAAGAGATTTTTTTCCTTCCCTCCCCAAAATACTAAAACTCAAGAACACCCAATAAAGCTGATGGACAGTAGGTTCAGGACAGACAAAAGGAAATACTACTTTACACAGAGAGTTAAAATGTGGAATTTGCTGCCAGAGGACGTAGTGATGGCCACAGCAATAAACAGCAATGAACAGCTTTAAAAGAGGATTAGATAGATTCATGAAGGATAAGTTTATCAATGGCTACTAGCCATGCTGGCTGAAGGAAACCTCCACATCCAGAGGCACTAAACCTTTGAATCCCAGAGCCAGGAGGCAACAGCAGGGGAAGGCCTCTTTGCCCTATTGGTGGCCATCCAGAGGAACTGGTTCCTCATTGTGTGAGACAGGAGGCTGGACTAGAGGGACCCTCACTGATCTGATCCAGCAGGGCTCTTCTGAGGTTCTTATGTCAGAAGGCCTTTGCTGCAATTTGAGTGTTGTGGCCTCTTCAGAAAACAAGAATAATAAAGCAGTGCTTTTTGGGAAACTGTATGGATGGGGAAATCTCTGTAAAGCCGGCTTTTTATAACTGACATTATGGAGGGTTTTCTAGGTGATGTAGCCCACAACTTGTGACTAAGGTTGCCAACCTCCAGGTGGTAGCTGGGGATCCCCTGGGACTACAGCTAATCTCCAGATGACAGAGATCAGTTCCCCCTGGAGAGAAGGGCCACTCTGGAAGGTGGACTCAGTGGCATATTGTGCCCTGTTGAAGTCCCCCCCCTCCCCAACCCCTGCTCTCCTCAGGCTCCACTCCCGAAATCTCCAGGTATTTCCCAAGTCAGAGCTGGGAACCCTGACTACTTGTGTTGTTACCCAAAGTGGGCAGTCTCCAATTAAGTTGGGAGGAATAGCTAAAGGAGACAGAATGAGAGGCAGGTGACCGGGATTCCCCACCGATGTATACCAGGATTTTTCCCTTTTAGAGAACTCTCAAATAAACCAGGCAGATGTTCAACTGGATAGGTTTTTATTAAAAAGAATAGGACCAAAATGCACACAATAAACAAGCACACAAGGGCTAACTAAGAGAAACACAGGGAGGAAAGGGGGAATTAGATTTTAGGGAAGGGTGATATGTACTGACCTTGAAGAGGTCCGTGGAAGCAGTAAAACGACCAGCATTTTGAGAAGCTAGACAGAACCCACAAGATAGTGGAGGGGGGGTGAGGACAGATCCAAGGTGCGCACACACACTGCTGGGGTGGCAGGGTGGTCCAATCATAGGGCAAAATGTACCTTCAGGCGGGGATATTTTCAGAGGTAGATAAAAAAGGTGTGAGAGGCTTGATGGCTCCACAAGTACCGGAAAGGAAGGGTCAATCAGGAAGGTGACTAGACTTAAGCAGTCATTAATTGCTGCTTAATCAAGGGGTAAGGCTGGGGTGTTGGTGGGATTATGCTGAGTGACTCAATAGGTCCTAGGCGACCAATTGGTTCTAAAGTCCCAAATATCTCCAGGGCAAGGAGAGGGTAGTAGCCAGCCAGCTGCTCTGACTCACCTTTAAAAATTATTTTGCCAGGCTTATGCCTGGTTGGCATCCATCTTGGTCCATTTTGGCCCAAGCAGTGCCCTGTACTAAGATATCAAGGTGATGTATAGAGAGGTGTTTCTGCCTCTATAACATATAAACTGGCCCTCTGCTACAGGAGGGGTCTGACCGCTAACAGTGTCGGATGTGGATTGAAGGGGATCTTTGTACTCTATCAAGTTTTTGAATGTTACTGTATTTTCATGTTTGTCTTGGAGCTGTCTTCAATGTGTGAAGAGGAGGGATAGCAAAGTGTTAATAAATAAAATGTGTGAATCTCCCTTTTCTGTGTGATAGCCAAACAAATGAAATGTGTGCACCTCACAAAACAGTCCTGCAGAGGAGACGCCTGCATTCACCCCTTTATAGGGTGCACAGCCAGGCACTTTCCTAAATTACTGTGTCAGCTGATTTGTGCAAGTTGAGGTTCTGCCAGGAGAAGAAAACCTTGCTGTTTTCTCTGAGACTACTGGCTGACATTTAGCAACAGATTTAAGGGTGCATAACAAAAGTGATTGGCTGTGTTCCAACAGGATGTCAAGACTACTTCTTATTGAATGAAAGGTTCTTGGATTAAAAATATTTTTGTAAGTAGGTGTTCAGTCACAGTCATATGTTGAAAGCAAAGCTGAGTTGAATTCTGTGGATATTCTTACAGGTTTTTTTCCTGCTCAACGTGGTGATTAAAAATTCCATACTTTAAAATCAGTGTTGTGTCAAGTGCTTCTTCCTTCCTTCCTTCCTTCCTTCCTTCCTTCCTTCCTTCCTTCCTTCCTTCCGCAGGGAGGAGTGAAAGGGAGCCCTGAAATGGCTGCGTGACCTTTAAAGCCAGCAGCCAGCAGGTGGACCCACTGGCTGATGGCTTTAAAGGGTGGGAAGCAAAGGGGGGCTCCCTTTTGCTTCCCTCAGTTTAAATGTAGGGGAAGGAAAAGGGATCCCTGAAATGGTTGCCCCACCCTTTAAAGCCAGCAGCTGACAGGCAGATTTGCAAGGCTGCTGGCTTTAAAGGGCAGGAAGCGATTTCAGCCCTCCCTTTGGCTCCCCCCACTTAGAAGGGGGGGAGCCAAAGGGAGGGTTGAAATGGCTGCTCACCAGTAGAGGGGGGGGCTCTTTATTTCCTCTTTCTTCTTCTTCCACCCCTTCCTTCCTTCCTCTCTCCCCATCTATTTGCTTTCTTTCTATTTCTTTCTTCCCCTTCTATTTTTTCCATTTCCCCTTTCTTTGTTTTCCTTCTTTCCCTTTCTTCCTTTCTTTCCATATCTTTCTTTCACTTTCCCCCTCCCTTTCTTTCAATTTCCCCCCACTTCTTTCTTTTCCTTTCTTTCCATTCCTTTCTTTCCTTTTCTTTCCATTCCCCTTTCCTTCCATATCGTTCTTTTCCTTCTTTCCATTTTTTCTTTCACTTTTTCCCTTTCTTTCTTTTCCTTCCTTCCTTCCTTCCTTCCTTCCTTCCTTCCTTCCCACCTCTGTATTTCTCTCTTTCTGTCTTTCTCTCTACCTCTGGCTCAAGCCCTCTGCAGCTTCCCCGGGAGATCTGGAGAGAGAGAGGGTTGGGCACTGCCAGCATACAGAGGACACCCAATTTCCAAAGGCACAAATTTCTTACATGCCTATCTCATGACAGAGAGTGTAATAAAATCCTGAAATGTGATCTTTCACCTGTAGTCTGATGTGGCTCTCATATCTCCCTTCTTTCAGATTTGCATTTTAGATTTCAAGTGAGTAGCCTAGGCTCAGCTAAGTATCTGTGAAAATTTTGTGAGGTGAGATGGCATCATCATATTGTAAAAAATGGAAGTATGACGATGAAGGCAGAAATTTTAGGCCAGAGTGGGAGGAAGATTTTGTGTTCACTGATAAAGCAGGTAGACCTTTGTGTCTTATCTGTAATGTGTCACTCGGTCATTACAAAGTCAGTAAATCACAAAACCTTTTTGTCTTATTATCCACCTAAATCAGAATCACTAGACAATTTTGTAACATATTGTGACAAGGAACATCTGGTGGCAAATTTCGATAAAACAAAAGTGATGGCATTCGGCAGACGACCTAAGAAGCGTTCCTTGTCCATGAAAGGGAATACAATCGAACAAGTAAACAAATTCATTTATCTGGGGGTGGCTATTCAGGATTCTGGAGTAAATTCAGCACATTGCAACATGATGATGGAGAGGGCCGAGAAAGCTGTGCATGCTGTTTTGAGATTTTTTTGATCCAAGGGGGGGTTTATATTTCCCAGCAGTATTGAAGCTGTTCCAATTCAAAGTTTTAGTGCAGCTCCTTTATGGCATTTATACGGGCATCTCTGCTGTCATGTTACATGCACTCGAGAAGGTCCAGTCTAAATTTCTCCATAATATTTTACAGGTACTCCCTGGTGTGCCAAATGCCCTCCTACATCTTGAAATGGGTCAAATGAGAATAGAAGCTAGAATACTGCTAGCTTCCGCATACCAGTGGCTTAAGAGCTATACAACTCCAAAAGACTTTTTCCCACTAATAATTCAAGATTCTCGTCACCCAAGGTGGATGCGAATGGTCAAGATCAATTTAGAAAGAATAGGACTCTCTCCTGAGAATCTTTTGGCACAGACCAGTGCCCAGGCAAAAAGTACCATCAAACAAAGGGTCCGTGATATAGAGCAACAGCGAGATTTAATAAAAGCCCCTTGTTTCCTGGCCCCCAGAGAGTCCAGATATGTTCTGAATATGGCCAAATATTTTACACATTTGGATGTGCCATCTCATAGAAAAGCTTTTACTTTGGCTTGTTGTGCAGTTATTCCTTCAAGGGTTCTAGATGCGAAATACAGGAAGATCCCATATGAAGATAGATGTTCTATTGAAGAAGAGGAATCGATGGTTCATATGTTCTTTAGGTGCCCGTTCCATCAAGTTCATAGGAATAAGTCTATTTCCCCATTTTTAGACAGACCATTGGTAGATGCAGATGAGACCTTCCTGGAGAGACTTTTAGTTAATGAAAAGCCAATTATCTCCAAACAAATAGTCAAATTCTGCTTCTACGTGGTAAAATTTCACAAAAAGAAGTATGGTTATGTATAGTTTTTATTTGTAGGACTTGTAATCATTTTACATATTTTAGACATTTTAGATATATCTTAAGGGTTTGTTTGTTTGTATTATTACAGTTCATAAATATTTTAAGGTTTTTATGACTAAACATATTTTCTGTCCTGGAATGAATCTCTTTGACTGTATAATATTGTATTCTTATGAAAAATGGTCTTAGAACGCAAATAAACATTCATTATTATATGTGAATTATGGAAAGACAATAACTGTGTTAAATCATCACTAAATAGGCAGCAGACACTGTTGACAGTGTTCAGTAAGGAAGCCGATGTGACGACTGAAGCTAGTTTTGTTATTTCATGGAATATTGCTCATGCTAAACTGATGGTGAATTTATTAAGACTATAGCTGAAGTTGTTGCAGTGCTAGATCCAAATAACATCAAACTTCAGTGACTGATAACACAAACAGCAGCTTCACGTCACACTACAGAGAGGTGTATCTCCCAGATCAGCGCTGATGTTGCAGGCAAAATGCAAAATGATTTAAAGGATTCCCTTGCATTCAGCTTGGCTCTTGACAAATCTACAGACATACAAGACAACCCACAGCTGGCAGTATTCGCTCGTTATGTTTCCTCTGATTTGACTGTGAAAGAAGAGGTGTTGGAGACCAGTGAGGGACTTCTGGTCTAAGGCTCTCTGGCAACGGGTGTGTGTGAGATCGGCTCCACACATTTAGCCCTCTTCTAACCCCATTAGGCTATTCCAGCACCTCAAATTTCTTCCTTGTGGGGGAAGAGTAGCAGGGAGCGTTTGCCCAAGGTGAGGGTGAAGCAAGGAGTTAGAAGGAGACACAGTCACGCCGGGCAATCCAAGAGCCTGAAGAACCGACTGAGTCTGGGCAAAAGAACCATCGTCCATACAAAGATAAGTGTTGTTTATTTTATTTTATTTTTTCATGTAAAACCCTTTCTTTTTTTCCTTGCAAGTATTATATAGATGGAAAATAGTAGGAGTGAAAAGCTATAAAAGGGAAGAGGGAGGGAATGCCCTTACTGCTTCACTATTCAAGACAGAAGAAGCTTTCCCCTAAGCAGCTAATTAAGTATAGGAGACAGTTAAGGGAAACAAACAAGAGAAACAGTAGGGCAAAATATATAAAAGCAGAGACCTGTTAGTAAAAACAACTTTGTGTTTTGCTTGCTCTTTTCGTTTTTCCTTTTTCTGTCTTAGTGGCACGTTCCAGAAATAAAATATCATGAACCAGAGAAAAACAGTGCATGTCTCATCTCAATTTTCAGCACGACATACTGCTGTGAACAACTGTATTCTATAATGAAGTTTGTGAAGCATCTTGCAGTCTTTACAAATCAACACCTGCTAATTCATACAGTCCTGACAACATATCAGACAGATTTTCAATGACTCACAGCCAAGATGGAGGCTCATAAGATTTCTATTAGCAGTAAGCAGTCAGTTAGTATCTCTGATTTAATTGATTCACATATTTTACACCATGTTTTGACCAGATACTAGAATAGATATCATTAGAAATCTCCAGGGCTTTTTTTGTAGAAAAAGCCCAGCAGGACCTCATTAGCATAATTGGCCACACCCAACAGCAGAAACGTATTAGCATATTAGGCATCACCCCTGATAGCACAGGTCATTAGCATATGAGGCCACACCCCTGTGTTACCAGAAGTGTGCTCATCCAGCCACACCCACCTTTTGCTTCTTATTCTGTTTACCTTGTTTGTTGTCAAAACCCAGGGCTTTTTTTGTAGCAGGAACTCCTTTGCATGTTAGGCCACACACCCCTAATGTAGCCAATCCTAATGAGTTTCTGCTGTTGGGTGTGGCCTGTTATGCTAATGAGTCCCTGCTGGGCGTGGCCAACTCAGGAGCCAGCCGGAACTCCGTTCCTGTGCATTACATTCCTGCCCAAAAATAGCCCTGGAAATATCTGTTTTTACCACTTGTGTTTTTACTTTGGGCAGTCCCATTTAATAAAATGCAAATTTGCATATTTTCAATAAAAACATTAGAGTTGCCAGGTCTGACTTGGAAAATACCTGGGGACTTTGGGGGTGGAGCCAGGAGACTTGCAAGTCCTGAACTAATTTCTGAAGGAACACTCCTTGATTTTGCCAAGGACTGGAATGGGAAAATCGTGCAGGGCAGGATCACGTATGCTTGGGTGACTGGAGTTGTTGTTCTATAGGTCCCTGGCTCTGCATTGTCCATATTCCCCTTCAACAGGGTTTGTCTAATTCTGCAAAGATCAAGTTGTCATCATGGTTTGAGTTCTGCATTTTAAAGCACAGGCTGCATTAACTAAAGTTGACTTTATACTGTTTACAGTTGTACTGTTTAAATTATTCCTAAAAGATAGTTTAAAGGAGTTATATAATACAAATATAAGTAAATCTATGTAAATATATGGTTTGTCATAGAAATGATAATAGTTTATATGTTGTATGTTTTGTATGTTTGTAAACTGAAATTTAAAAAAAAATTACATTGGCCCACTCAAAGTTTTAAAGCTAGTGCCATTTTTGACTCACAGGGTAAAAGAATTTGTTCACAAAATTGCATACACGGGTTTTCCCCTTTATCAAGTTCTGTGGAAGCTGTAGGGTGCCAGTTGAACCCCTCTGCCAATTACTCTGTCTTTCTTTTCTTAATCACCCTACCACATTTCCGGCAACAAAACATGCAACATTTCACAGCACTGAAGATGAACACTGCAGTGCAAACAGTCAAGAATGCCAAGATATCCAGGCAGTGATACTGGTACCAGGTCAAGTGATGGGCAGCTGGTCTCAAGTGCTTGGCGTTTTTGTGGCGCATGACAAACTCAATCCAAAAGACAGCTCGGTCCAGGGGCTTTACGGGTTGGTCATGGTGAATTTGAGACAGCCTGACTGCATTTTCTTTGTACCTGGAGAAAGGAAGGGTAGACAAGAACAAACAGGGCTGGAACCACTGGTGGTGTTCATCATGCAGTCGAGCAAGCCTGTAGCCACAGTGGTGCAGTAAGGGGCGGGCCCCCACCAATCGTTTGTCATGCCCCTCCAATCGGCACTAGGGGTTGGTGTGAAATCTGTCACAAGCCTTCTGCCCATGAGGGAGAGATTCTCCTTCCCTCCTGCTGCCTTCCTCCCAGGCTTTGCCAGTGAGAGAGAGAGTCCCCTTCCCTCCTCCCTCCCAGGCTTTGCCTCCTGCACAGAGTGGTTGCTCCTGCTGTGCTCTGAAGCAGCTGGCACAGTCCTTTCCCCACCTTAGCTTGCTAGCTCGTGCCAGTCACGGATTCCTCTGATCTGCACATCAAGGTAGAAGCTTTTGGGGGAGTGTTCAAAGGTGGTTGGAATCATAGGAGGTGAGTGGTTGCAGCAGCCTCTGTATTCTGCCTTTCACAAGTGGACTCGTAACCATTTTACAGTGGGCGCAGGTGCCAATGCAGGTGCCCATGGCCCTTGGGGCGACAGCGGAAAGAGTTCTGCACCACAAGCCCACAGTGGATCCGGGCATCATAGCATTTTAAAATCACTGTAAAATGGTGATAATGAATTGGTGCTGGCAACAATGTTGCCTGGGCTCAGCAAGGGATGGGGGGAGAGACAATCTCTGCCCCTGTAGAGAGCCTCCCCAGCTCCTCTTCTCATCTGCGTGAAGCAGAAAAGCCACCCTTCCCCTGCATGCCAGGAAACGTGTGCTGCAAAGGAAAAGTGTATGTGCACATGTTTGCTAGGGTTGCCAACTCCATGTTGGGAAATTCCTGGAGATTTGGGGGTTGGAAACTGGGGGAGGTGAGGTAGGGACATTTTTGTTGTTGCTCAGTCGCACAGTTGAGTCCGACTCTTCGCAACCCCAATGGACCACATCACGCCAGGCCCTCCTGTCTTCCGCCATCCTCCGGAGTTGGCTCAGTTTCATGTCCGTTGCATCGATGACACTTAATCAGGTATAATTCCACAGAGTCTATCCTCTGAAGTAGCCATTTTCTCCGGGGGGAGTGATCATTCCAGTCTGGTGATCCCTTGTAATTCTAGGAAACCTCCAGGCCCCACTTGGATTTTGGCAACCCTACTGCATTCCAGCCTGAGTTCCTATAGCTATCCTATGTACATCCTCCTCTATGTGAAGTCAAACCAGAGCAGGGACCTGGGCTTTTGGTGGGCTTCAAGGGAAGATGGTGTTGTGAATCAAAGGGGCCATCCCAGATGTGATGATATCACTTCCAGGAGACGTCATTGCATTGGGGACTCCCGGAACACCCCCCGCTGGCATGACAAGGGGACCTGGCAACCCTAGGTCTAGGGTTTTGGGTGATCTCCAACATAACACTGCCCCCCAGGAAAAGGATTCTGTCAGTTAACTTCATGTTTTAATGAAGCAAAATGTTCCTTTTTTAAAAAATCTCAGTTTACTACTCTTCACGATTAAGAATATAATTGAATATGTAATATAATTTGGAATGGTAGATTTAAATGGAATTTGCTATTCTGGGGACAACAAAAATACTCTACAGTTTGCCTCCATGTGACTAGCACCCAAAAATGTAAACCGCCCAGAGACCCCTACGGGGGTTAGGGCGGTATATCAAGTTGAAATAATAAATAAATAAAAGCGATGGAGGGGATCTAATGACTGGATTCTCACAATTTAGGTTACATTAATCTCCAGTTTTGACATATTTTACCTATGTTGTTTTCCCCCCCAGTTGAACCCAAACAGTTGATAACCAGAAACCAAGCTTGTCATTCTTTCTATCTGTTAAAAAACACTTCACTATTTTGCATGCTAATTTAACAAGCCACCACCATCTATATATACAACTATGATCTATAATTCCATTTCATTGTCCGACGAAGTGTGGGTGCATATGAAAGCTCACACCTTGAATAAACCTTTGTTGGTCTTTAAGAGGACACTGGACTCTACCTTTGTCCTTATTGCTTCAGATCAACACAGCTGCCCACTTTGATCTATCAGGATTACCTGCAAGACTTTTCTTTTGCTGCACTCACTACTTCATCCTGCTCTAGACATTGTCGATGGACAATTGCCTGCATTTAGTTCTACGAAAGAGTTTGCAACTAACTCACATAGAATTGTGAATGACAGCGTTCACAGCCTCCACCAAATCTTGAGCTGTCATTGTATGGAAGTTCAGCTCCACAGCCATTCCCTTTGCTCTCATATGGGCAATGTTATCAGGTTGGTCAGCAAACAGGGGGATACCAACCATGGGAATCCCATGGTAAATAGCTTCATAGATCCCATTTGTTCCACCATGTGTTATAAAGGCTTTGGTCTTGGGGTGTCCTGGAATAGAAGATGAACATGTACTGATAAATATTACAGGAAGCTACAAGAAGATTATCATAACTGACTAGGAATAAGGCCCATTGTGGAAATAAATACAATGGCCTCTAGAAAGAGGCTCTGGGAGAGTGCCCTAGACTTGGGCACTCAGTGCCAATTTGCTGTGGCAACCTCAGCAGGGTATAATGACACCGAGTCTACCATTTTCTCCAGAAAACTAATCTCTGCTACCTGAAGAGCAGTTGTAACTCTGAGTGATCTCCAGCCCGCACCTGGAGATTGGCAACAATGGTTCCCCATGAGGGAATGGCTGGTTTGGAGGGTGGAAGCTATGGCATTGTACCTTTCTGAGGTCCCACCCCTCTTCGAACCCCACCCTCTCCATGCTCCACCCCTCAAGTCACCAGGAATTTCCCAACCTGGAGTTGGCAACTCTATCTCCTTCCCAGCCAAGCATCAACCTGCCATTATCTGCCCCTCACTCTTCAGCTTTCCATCTCCCACACACACACACCTGCAGCCTCTACTGTGCTCTGACGCCCTGACTGCTACGTCACGTTGGCTGTCATAGGAGGGCCATCTCAGCAGGGTATAAGGACACTGAGTCCACCATTTTCTCCAGAGGAACTGATCTCTGCCATCTGGAGAGCAGTTGTAATTCTGAGTGCTCTCCAACCCTCACCTGGAGATTGGCAACAATGGTTCCCCAGGAGGAAAAGTACAGTTTTTCTCTACAATGGGGACCAAAGCAGCTTACATCATTCTCTTCTCCCCCTTTTGACTGGCACAACAAACCTGTGAGGTAGGTTAGGCTGAAAGTCTGTGACTGGTCCAAAATCACCCATTCAGCTTCCACAGCAAGAACCTGGGTCTAGGAGACCCTCCTCTGAAGTGCTGACTGCTACGCCTAGGGTAGCCAACCTCCAGGTGAAGCCTGAAGATTGCCAGTTATCATAGACTCTCCAGTGTTCCCTCTAAGCTGAGTTAGTGTGAGCTAGCTCACAGTTTTTTACCCTCCGGCTCACACATTTTTTGTCTTAGCTCAGGAAGGATGGCTCCAGTCCAGAGCAAACTAATTTATGCAATAGCCAAATCACCTGCCTACACACAGTTTTAATGCTGGTAGCTCACAAAGTAGAATTTTTGCTCACAGGACTCCATGGCTTAGAGGGAGCATTAGACTCTATCATAAGATCTCCAGGAATTTCCCTACCTGGAGCCGGCAACCCTAGTCTGGACGGGCCCCAATGAGTTTTCTCCGAAAAGCCAAAATACGGTGGAAAGGGCCTTTTACTGACAGAACCAAGTTTGGGTGCCTAGCAACAGGCACTGAGGGAAAAGTAGGATTGCCAGCTGTGAGTAGGGAAATACCTGGAGAGCTGGGGAGTGGATCCTGTGGAGGGCAGCGTTTGGGGAGGGGAAGGACTCAGCAGGGTATAATACCATGGGGGAACTGATCTCTGCCTGGCAGACCCTGCTCTGATGCACTGACTGCTACGCCTAGGGTAGCCAACCTCCAGGTGGAGCCTGAAGATCACCAGGTATCTCAGCTGAACTCCAGACATCCCCCACAGAGAAAATAACTGCTTTGGAGGGTGGGCTCTATGGCATTCTGTTCAGCTGAGGCCTCTCCCCTCCCCACACCCTGGCTTCCTTAGACTGGCTTCCTTAGACACAGAATATCCAGGAATTTCCCAACCTGGAGCTGGCAACCCTAGTCAGGACAGGCCCCAATGAGTTCCTCACAAAGGCCTGGGAAGGATTTCCTTCTACCAGCAGCCACTGAGGGAAAAGTTAGTCCCACAGAGGAGCCAAGCAGGAGAAGTGTCTTCGTTAGGAGAGACAGTCATTTGCCAGTAATTCTGACGTTACAGTGGCTGAGGTGGGAGTGGAAGGGGAAGAGGAGCAGACCCAGCACCCAGCCAATGGCACACGAGTACTCTTGAGTGGCGGCTGATGGGCCAATGGCTGATGGAGTGCATTGCACAGCCAATGGGAGAGATAGAAAGTGCCACCCTACTACTCAATTATATATAAAGGAGAGATTCCCAGATGCATATTCCAGCTTAGTACAGCTGGCATGCAATCCTTGAAGGTTATTTATATAGATTCCCATAATATGGAATTTGTTCTTAGTGCACAATGAAATGCACATAAGATAATTTTGCAATGACCAACATTCTGACTTATGGTCATCAAACACTCTTGATTCTAATTTGTTAGTTGTAACCAGTTCTTTTTTTGTTGTTGTTCAGTCGCACAGTCGAGTCCGACTCTTCGTGACCCCATGGACCAGATCACGCCAGGCCAGTCACAGGTGTGTTTCTTTGCTCCATCAGTGCTACATGGGCATCTTTACCTGATGCACTGGTTTTGTAAAACAGTAATTTGATTGTCTAAATCATGCGTTCAGCCCCTCCATTTGATTGAGGGTATCCTGGATCTTGTCACCTGTCATCATGAGAGCATCCTGTAAGGAAACAACGTCTTTCATGGGGCAGTATGACCACAGGCTGGGGTCTGTTTGTGTTCTCTGTTGTGGCCAGCCTTGCTTGTGTAAATTTAAGCAGGGCCTGTAGCTGAGGATCTTGGCTTGTTGTTGTTGTTCAGTTGCACAGTCGAGTCCGGCTCTTCGTGACCTCATGGACCAGCTCCCGCCAGGCCCTCCTGTCTTCCGCCGTCCTCTGAAGCTTGCTCAATTTCATGTTCATTGCAACTATGACACTGTCTAACCATCTCATCCTTTGCCGTCCCCGTCTTCTTTGACCTTCAATCTTTCCCAGCATCAGGGTCTTCTCCAGTGAGTGCTCCCTTCTCGTTTGGTGGCCAAAGTATTTGAGCTTCAGTTTCATTATCTGGCCTTCCAGGGAACAGTCAGGGTTGATTTCTTTTAGGATTGACTGATTTGATCTTCTTGCAGTCCAAGGGACTCTCAAGAGTCTTCTCCAGCACCATAGTTCAAAAGAATCTATTCTTCGGCGCTCAGCCTTCCTTATAGTCCAACTCTCGCAGCCACACATGACTACTGGGAATACCATTGCTTTGACCATGTGGACTTTTGTTGGCATGGTGATCTCTACTTTTTATCATGCTGTTAAGGTTCACCATCGCTTTCCTCCCAAGGAGCAGGCGTCTTTTAATTTCATGGCTGCTGTCACAGTCTACGGTGATCTGGGATCCCAGGAATGTGAAGTCTGTCACTACTTCCATGACTTCCCCTTCCATTTGTCAAGGAGTGATGGGGCCGGATGCCATGATCTTAGTTTTTTTTTTTATGTTGAGCTTCAAGCCCACTTTGGCGCTCTCCTCTTTTATCCTGAGCTAGAGGCTCTTTAGGTCCTCTTCACTTTTCTTTAGCCAGTTCTTTAGCCAGTTCTTAATGTATATTTGTATACCTTTTAAATTTTCCATTGGTTATTCACAAGTTTTCCCCTTTCTATGGTAGGCACTGCTGAGAGCTGTATAACCTGATTTCCTACTTCTGGGTGCTGCCAAGTAAAAATGGGAGATTTTTATTTCTCAGATGGCTGATTTAAATGGTGACGACAACAGCAGTAGTTAGGCCACATCAGATTTGATCTGTGTCCCACTACAAACCAGTTTTCTTTCACAAGGAGGGCAGTCAGGGAAGCCTCTGAGAACAGAAATGTTAAAAATAGTCCTGGGAGCCACAGTCTTTGTTTTCAGTCTTTAGTTCACCACTGTACATGCAGAGTTTGCTATCGTCACCCGTTCAAATCTTGTTTTCGTACAAAAAATGCCCCGAGATAATTACAGGGGTGAACTTAAGTGTAGTGTAGAATGTAAGTTCGGGGACAGCGTCTAACCAGGATTCAAGGTCTAGTGCAGAAAGGACCATAGTCTTGACCTGGGAGCTGCCCTCTGACCCCCCCTTCTTTCTCTCGCTTTGTCCTCTCCCTCCCTGCATATGGCCTTCCATGGAGGCACAGGGCTACAGGTCTCTCCTGCAGAGACAGTGCCCTCAAACTCTCCCACACATGATGGTGGACAAGCCGGCCTTCGTGACAGGGAAAGTCCTCTTTGGATGAGGCTTCTTTCTCTTCCTTTGACTGCGTCCTGAATGTGAACTGGATCTACTTGAAGAAATGTAAGTTTACCTTTTTTGCAATCTACTTCTTGGGAGACTGACTTACTGCAGTCAGTGCCACACTTCTATGACTGGGCAGAACTCTGCTATATTAACCAATTCTCCCAATATGTGGCAGCAGAGGGGAACACATTTCCTTACCGCTGGCAGAACAGTACAGTGAAGCCCAAGTCTGCAGCACCAGGACTCACCGAGCAGGTCATTTTGTGGTATCCAGTCATAAAGCCTGGTGTTCGATCCCAGTGTGTCTGGCCTTTTCCCTTTGTACCGCCAAACGACCTGAAATAGAGACATCAGAGGAGTGTCCCATACATTCCAAGCTGTGAAAATAATTCCTCTTGATATTGACCTGTAAGTTTTTAATACATTTGGCAGCTAATTTATGGTGACCCCCTCATGGGGTTTTCAAGGCAAGTGATGATTAGAGGTGGTTTGCCCTTGCCTGCCTCTGCATGGCAACCCTGGACTTCCTTGTTGGTCTCCCATCCAAATTCTAACCAGGGCCAACTCTGCTTAGCTTCTGGGATCTAATGGGGCTAGCCTGGGCCATCCAGGCAACAAGTCTTTAGTCTTATTAAAAGGTCATGCTAATTAATGCATAACAAAAATTGAGTTCTTTTTTTTCATTTTGAAGATTGCAAAGCTGTGCACCTTCAGTGGCCAAGAGAACTAAACTTTACATTTATGTAACATATTGCAGTCAAGATGATCCTGCATCACCATTTGGTGTAGTAGTTAGGAGCGTGGACTCTAATCTGGGAGAACCGGGTTTGATTCCCCACTTCTCCACATGCAGCTGCTGGTGTGACCTTGGGTCAGTCACAAGTTCCCTCAGAGCTGTTCTCTCAAGGGCAGTTCTCGAAAGAGATCTCTCAGCCCCACCTACCTCACAGGGTGTCTGTTGTGGGGGGAGGGGAAGGAGATGGTATGCTGCTCTGTGACTCCTTTGGGTAGTGAATAGCGGGGCATAGATCCCATCTCTTCTTCTTGTCTTAGATTTAATATTACATAATTCAGATTTCATATTACCTTATTTATTACTAGGAAAAAGGCCCGTTGTGGAAATAAATACAACGACCTCTAGAAAGAGGTTATGGGTGGATGCCCCAGCCTTGGACACTCAGTGTCAATTTGCTGTGGCAACCTCAGCAGGTTATAATGACACTGAGTCCACCATTTTCTCCAGAGGACTGATCTCTGCTACCTAAGGAACAGTTGTAATTTTGAGTGATCTCCAGCCCTCACCTGGAGATTGGCAACGATGGTTACCCAGAAGGGAATAGTTGGTTTGGAGGGTGGAGTCTATGGCTTTGTACCTGTCCGAGGTCCCACGCCTCCTGAAACCTCACCCTCTCCAGGCTCCATCCCTCTCAATCTCTACAGGAATTTCCCACCTGGAGTTGGCAACCCTATCTCCTTCCCAGCCAATCATCAACCTACCTTTATTTCCCCCTCACTCTTCAGCTTTCCACCCCCCACACACCTGCAGCCTCTCCTGTGCTCTGAAGCCCTGATTGCTACGTCACATTGGCTGTCATATGGGGGCCACCTCAGCAGCATATAAGGATACAGAGCCCACCATTTTCTCCAGGGGAACTGATCTCTGCCATCTGGAAAGCAGTTGTAATTCTGAGTGATCTCCAGCCCTCACCTGGAGATTGGACACATTTTACCTCAGAACAGAAAACTGTTTGAAATGTTAGAGGCAAAAGCCAATCAAGTCGCATAAGCCAATCAAGTCGCATATGCAAACGACCTCTATGTTCCAAGGCAAAGGCCAATGAGGCTGCATATGCAAATAACCTCTGTGTTCTGACTGGCAGAAACAGCAAAAGGTTTAGAATGTTGGAGGCAGGACTCAGGCAATGGATAGGGAGGCAGTGGATAGGGAGACCCTCTTAATGACAGATCAGAGAGCGAAGTGATTTTGGAGCATGTGGAATGTTCTAGAGAAGTGACACCACCATTAGGCTTTTATTTATAAGGGAGATGTCTTATTCTATTAGACATTCTTTTGTCTTCCCTTTCTTGAGGTACTTTAAATAGTGAAAATTTTGTTTATCTCTAATTTTCCTTTGACTATATTTTTAAATTTATTTTTATTTTGTTAATTGCACGTCTTACACTTGAAGGGGAGGAAGCAGTATACCAAGCAGTGTTCCCGGTGTAACAGGCCGGATTAACCCCCCGGCCAGAGTAACCCCGGGGTTATTCTGGCCTAGCCTAGAATAACCCCGGAGGGGTTATTGAGGGGTTATTCTGGCCTAGCCTAGAGTAACCCCGGCGGTCACAGGCCAGAGTCACCCCCCCTGGCCAGAATAACCCCAGGGTTACTCTGGCCTAGCCCATACTCTGGCCAGAGTGGTAAGTTAAATGTCAGCTGAATCCAATCTCTTCTTCTTTTTTTAACTTCTTCTTTTTAACTCCATAACACAACAACCTGTAACCCCGGTCTTAGTTGAGTGGTAACTTAGATGTCAGTGTAACCAGCACAGTGTCAGCTTCTGAGGGTTTCAGGTCCATGAGAAACTTGTCAGGCAATCTGAGATTCCTCTTGGTAGTGAAGAACAGGGTATGAATCCAATCTCATTAGTCAACAGACCCAAATATCAACAGTACTACGACTGACATTTCTTTGGAGAGCCAATTTTTTAAAACTATATAGGTAGGTACTTTGTTATTAATTTAATTATGGTACTCCTAAGGCTGTCCATAATGTAATATAAGTCATAACATCCTGAAACTTCTACTTTGATGGCTACCAAGTACCCACAGAGATATAATTATTCAAAGCTAAACACTAATGACAACATCAAAATGATCATGCTTGTTTCCAAGATAAAGTGCATGCTCTGTTGTTGACTGCAGATTGAAGCTTGCGGGATAGGTCAACCATTCCATGGAGTGACCAGCTTTTGTGTAGATGAGAATGTCGCAACTCAGCAGATTCACTGTGGCCATGATCTCTGCATCAGTTGCCCAGACTCCATCATGAGAGATGCCAGAAGTGCTCACATATTCACTCTCTGCACACATAGAATTTTATTACTTCAACCAGGAAAAAAACCAACAGTAAAAACATTAGACTTGATGTTCACTTAACTTAGCTGTCCATAATGTAATATAAGTCATAACATCCTGAAACTTCTACTTTGATGGCTACCAAGTACCCACAGAGATATAATTATTCAAAGCTAAACACTAATGACAACATCAAAATGATCATGCTTGTTTCCAAGATAAAGTGCATGCTCTGTTGTTGCCTTGGTCATTGCCAATGCGGGATAGGTCAACCATTCCATGGAGTGACCAGCTTTTGTGTGGATGAGGATGTCGCAACTCAGCAGATTCGCTGTGGCCATGATCTCTGCATCAGTTGCCCAGACTCCATCATGAGAGATGCCAGAAGTGCTCACATATTCACTATCATTCCGGTTCAAGTAGTTTCTCTGTGAAAAGTATGCAGGCGGAGAGTGGTTTCAGCTAAGCGTACCTTTATTTAGTTAAGAACAAAGACAACTGACCGGCTCGCAAGCCGGTTTATATTCATTCAGAAAACCCGCCACCAAACTCACCTAAACACACCCCCTACTCCCGATAGGCTATTTACAGTAACCGAGAGACCCATTGGCCTCCCGGCTTGGGACCTAGCCCTTTCATTGGGCCAGCTAGGATCCTACGGACCCATTGTCTTTAGACTTGAAGCTATTGAGGAATTGTGCCTGGCCAGCCCGGGCAAGTCCTTTTTGCTAACAAGACTCCACAGCTTAGAGGGAGCATTGATACCAAACATATTGAAAACACACCAAATAAGCCATTTGTTATCTTACCAGAAGTGTCATAGCCTCCCTAAAGTAAGCATTGCTAGTACAGAAGAAATTCAGATATAAAGCAATACCCTCAGCAGTACTTTATGGTAGATATACCTGGACCCCCATGCACAAGAGAACTTGCTCCTGTTTGTTAAAACAGGTGGAGTCGGCTTCCCATATATTACTCCATTGTCCTATGTATGACGAAGAGAGACAGCAGCTGTTGATACCCCTTCTCTCTCGTTTTAAACCCTTGGCTAATTATCTTACATATGCCAAGGAATGCTTGATGAAGTTCTTATTGGCCAATACTTATGAGCCTGTCTCACGCAGTGTTGCTAAATATTGTTACCTGGTAATTAAAAAGCGCAGAATGTACTGTAACTCAAGCCATTAATGACGGAATTGACTGGTTTGGTATTTTAGTATTTAAGGCTGCAAGGATTCTATGTTGTAGATTCGGTGTTGTACTATTTTGGTTTATTTTGCTGGTCTTATGACTGTTTTTAATAAACTTGACTTGATATAAAGCAATGAAATAAAAACCATGCTAGGTAGGAGCAGACACTGAAAGCATGAAAGGGCAAGGGTGAGGGGAAAAGGAACCATGATATCGATAACTATATTTTTACAGGGTCTGGTTTTCAAAAAAACCGATTCAAACAAAATGTTTTTCATCAGTTGTCATTTCGTGCAGGAACGAGCAGGAACGGCATTC